TTTTTGTTTTATCCAGCTGTATTTACTCAGTGCAACTTATAACATCCAAGTGAAAGATATAACACCAACATGTCAGTCATAAATAAATACGTAAATAAATAAATAAGAATCACTGAATTGGAAAAAGGATCACTTCCTTGGTCATTATTTTGTTGAACCACTTTTGTTTTAATTACAGCCTTAAGTCTGTTGGGATATGTCTCTATTATCTTTGCACATCTAGACTTTATTACAATATTTACAATATTTGCCCACTCTTCTTTGCAGAACTGCTCAAGTTCAATTAAATTTGATGGTGACGGTTTGTGGACTGCAGTCTTCAAGTCACTCCACAGATTTTCAGTGAGGTTTAAGTCTGGGCTCTGACTGGGCCATGCAAGGACATTCTTTTTCTCCTTTTAAATTTTAGTCTGCCTCAGAATCTTCAAGGTGCGTTTTGGCAAAGTCCTGCAACCTCTTCAGAGTTGCTGTAGGCCTCTTGGTTGCCTCTCTGACCAGTTTCCTCCTGGCTCTTTCATCCAGTTTGGAGCGACATCCTGATCCAGGGAGGGTCTGTTTTGTACCAAATACCTTCCACTTCTTAATAATAGACTTCACTCTGCTTCTAGGTATTGATAAAGCCTTTGAAAACCCTTTTGTATCCATCTCCTGACTTGTGTCTGTCCACAACTTTATCCCGGAGATCTTTTGACAGTGCCTTGCCCCCCATAGTTGATTGTTTGCTTCAGTTGCACTACCAAGGATTGAAATGCTCCAGGAAAGCTATTTTCATGCTGAGCCAATCAAAATGACCACAGCTGATCACAGTTGAAAGTTAAATGGCTTTGTGTGCCATTGAGAAGGTGATTAGCTACACTTGACTTGAGTTAACAAGTTTTTTTTAGGAAGGGGTGATACTTTTTCCAACTCGATGATTCTGTTTTTTTTGGGGGGGTTTTCTGACATGTTGGTGTTATATCTTTCACTTGGATGTAAATACAGCTGGATAAAACAAAAACTGTGTCCGTCTTCATTTCAGGCTGCAAAGCAACAAAATGTGATTATTTTAAATGGGGGTGATTCTTTTCTATACCCACTGTATACATATATATGTATGTATATATATGTATATATATCTTAAATTTATATTTTAGATATTTTACTGGAACAAGACAACAAAGCTAATTTAAAAAAAAAAGATTTTTACAGTGTTGCCAAGATGAAGCATATTAAAAAGCTAATTAAAAATCTTTTTGGAGTGTACAGTATTGCCATGCTAATGTAACATCCTCCACAACATCAGGGCGAACGTTTGAGTCATGCGGTGGGATGCGCCTTTGCTGCTTGCCTTGAGCGGAAGCAACGCAGAGAGAAGGAGTGCGGGGTCACGGCTTCCTTCGATGCAAGCCGCACATCGTTTGTGAGGGAAGGCTCCTTCCGCGTCTCCTCTGCTGGACAGCAAAGTGACCTGGAGGACATCATGAAACAACTGCAGGACAAAAAGAAAGGTCAGCCTCATTACAATCACTCTCAAACACCAAAGGCTTTCTTTGTAAAAAATGACTCTGATTAGTGAATGTGCCTCTCTGTAGAAGCATGCATCATTTCTGCAGTGCCTCCTGGAAATGCTTCTCCTCCAGAGGGAGCGGCTTCACCGGGGGAGCGAGTGGAGCCAGGCGGGCCTCACGCCATCCCACGCCGCCACGCTCCTATCGAGCAGCTGGTGCGGCAGGGCTCTTTCCGTGGCTTTCCACAACTTAGCCAGAAGAACTCACCTTTCAAACGGCAGCTCTCACTACGCTTGAATGATCTCCCATCAACCCTGCAGCGCAAGACGGACTTCCAGACCAAGAACCCAGGTTAGTTGTTTTTGTGTACTCAAGCAGCGTAAAAACTGTAATGTTGACCCAGTACTGTTTACCCATGTGATAGTACTGACCGCCATTTATGTGTACTGTGCGTCATCAACCAGAGGAAATTTCAGATGTATCTCATGTTGAGCCTGCAAACAAATAAGCACAAAAACACTCTATTTGCACTGAAACCTTATAATTGTACCCATAAAATCATTTGAGCGTGTATTCCAGACCATAAACTGCTGCATTTACCTGTAGATATGTGATTTACAGGTGCTTTCCATTGATACTTTCTAGTGTAGTGCTCTATAAATAACATTTAACGCTTTTGCAGAGAATTGAACTGCTGTCTCTGATCTCTAGCTTGATCCCTTAGACTAGATTCTAAAAGGGGAATTATGGGTTGTATGTTTTTGTAACACTGCCATGTTTGACAGGGTTTAGGAATATTGTAAATGACTACACATGCAGGAATTTTGAGGACATCATATTTTATGTAGTCCAACTGTTTTCTTGCTTTGAGGGCTGTAATACAAACCACAACATGAAATGTGTTGTTGTTTTTTTAACTGCAGGTGTTTATTAGAGATGCACCAGTATTAAAATTCTGTGTGATCCTGATAATCTGATAATTACTGACATGTTATGGATATTAATTTTGAAATCTGCTAATGATTGCATACAACATTACGTTAATGTAATTAAAGATTAACTTTGATTAAGTGAGTGATACACAACAGCAGTGGTAATCTAAATGTAAAAATAGGGAAAATTAGCATGCACAATTAAAAATCAAATATCATCCAACACACATTATGAACCATGATAAATTAAAAAAAAATCTGTAATATTGTTTGATAATTGATATGATATTGATATACACTACCATTCAAAAGTTTGGGGTCAGTAAGTTTTTGTAATGCTTTTGAAGAAGAAGTCTCTTATGCTCACCATGGATGCATTTATTTGATCAAAAATACAGCAAAGCTGTAACATTTTTAAATATGATTACAGTTGAACTGTTTTCTATTTGAATATATTAAAAAATATTCCTGTAATGCATTACTCCAGTCTTGAGTGTCACATAATCTTTCAGAAATCATTCTAATATGCTGATTTGCTGCTCAAGAAACATTTTTTAAAATGAGTATCAATGTTGAAAACAGTTGTTTTGTTTAATATATTTACGGAAACTGGATTTCAGGATCTTTCAGGATTTTTTGATTAATAGACTGTAGATGAATAGATTTATTTGAAATAGAATTTAATACATCCTTGCTGGAAAAAAAACTCAACTATTGAACAATAATGTATAGTGCATCCCTACCTTATATCATAGATCCAGGATATTTTAGCAAGCAAAATCCCATAAACTGCATGCATGGCCCACTGAAATGAGCCACACAGATGTGATTGACCTTTCTATTGGTTTGTGTCAGTTCCAGAGATGGATCTATCAGTGGTAGGAGAGGCGGACAGCTTAAACGCTCTGTGCAGCCAAATCAACAGCTCTTTCACCAAACCATCTGAGGATCTGTGTGCCAAAGCCACCAGCAACTGCTTACCAGTTTACAGCGCTCCACCTGCCATTCCTCCTCCACCTGCTCCACTGCAAGGTAACACAGATGGCACAATCCCACATAAACGTACACTAGCGGTCAAAAGTGTGGAATAATTAAAATGTATAAAAGTTTATGAAAGAAGTCTCTTATACTCACCAAGACTGCATTTATTTGGTTAAAAATACAGTAAACAGTAATATTGTGAAATATTTTAACCATTTAAAACTTTTTTTTCCTTCTCATTATTCTAGATCCTTCAGAAATCACTCTAATTGTGCTAAATTATTATTGGTAATCAATTATTATTAATGGTTTTTTATTATTATTAACATTGAAAACTGCTTATTATTCTTGTGGAAATCATGATAACTTTTCTTCAGGATTATTTGGTATGTAGAAAATTCAAAAGAACAGCATTTTGTATGAAATATAATTTTTTAGTCTTTACTGTCACTTTTGATCAATTTAATGCACCCTTGTTGAATACAAATTTATTCATTTATTTATTTATTTTTGATCTTATCCCAAACCTTTGAAAGCGGCAAATCTCTTTTCAACATATTGTCTTGTTTTCCAGTACAAATATCTAAACATTCTTAAATCAGTATACATATAGTATGCTTAAGAAGCAAAATGAAAAAAAATTCATTTTAAGTGAGTTTAAACAACTTGTTAAAACGACTTATACTGAATTAGAAAATTCATTTTATTTTGATCAAATAATGCAGCCTTGGAGAGCATAAGAGATTTCTTTCAGCAACATTAAAATTTCTTAATATTACAAACTTTAACCGGTAGTGTATACATGGTGAATAGGACAGTCATATTTTAACATTCTTACCCCTCTCGTTCCCCAGCTACAAACTCATGGGTTCAGACAGAGCCTGCTGTGCAGTCCCCTCCACCCGTTCCTCAGGGTGGCCACAAACGAACCCCGTCCGAAGCAGAACGCTGGCTGGAGGAGGTGACTAAAGTGGTGAAAGCCCAGCAGCAGACTCCACCAACCCTACCACCACCACCCACTCAGCAACCTCCGCCCATGCCCATCGCACCCGGGTCCCTCCCCTCCTCCATGCAACCGTTCCCAATGGCTTTTGACGTCACTCCTGCGCCCGTAGGCATGTTCGCTCAACAGCCTCTTCAACCGGCTTTTGTACCTATGCAGCCATACATGGCCAACAGCATGACCTATCCCAATGCCAGTGTGCCCGTGGTGGGCATCACACCATCGCAGATGGTGGCTAATGTATTCTGCACTGCGGCCGGAACAGGGGGTGGTGGAGTGGTGATGGGGGTCGGGATGGGGCCGAAGATGGGAACGCTTGTTGGTGGCCAACAATCGGCTTTCCCCACCCTGTCCGGAGGCTTCCCAACCACCACGTTCACCTCTCCTCCAACCGTCAACGGCCACACGCATAACTCCTTTCCATCAACGACCATGACTACAAGTGTCACGCAAAACGGTAGTACCGTAAAAAGTGGTACTGGTTGGCCGATGGAGAGTCTGAATCCGAATCCCACGTGCAGTTCCCAGGAAGCAGAGCATTTTGATGCAAAGTGGGCTGCTCTGGAGTCCAAATCGCAACCGAAGGCGCAAAACCCTTTTTCGAATGACTTACAAAAGACTTTTGAGATTGAACTATAATCTTAAGGAGACTCTGAAAGAGGCTGAACTATTTCATACCCCATTCCCCTTCCCCTTTTTTTTGTCTCCTAAAGGATTTTCTTATGCTCCTGGTCTGTTTGAGGGCATTGGTTGTTGTAAGAGATCATTTGGGTGCATTTTGCGTCATTTCGAGAATCAGACTCAAGATTTGGAGAATTGAAAGGCCGTCACAACATGTTTGGCACTTACAAGACAGCTTGAAAGAGAAACCTGCACAGTACTTTCACCAGTAATGACCCATGCTTGGAAAATGAATGATTTTACCTAAAGGAAATACTGAAATTAGGGGATGGTCGAAATTTATTTATTGTTTTCCCTTATTTATTTATATTGAACAGGGTGAAGGATTACAGGTGGAATAAATTGACTACTTGACAATTGATTCACCAAATGATAGATGAAATAATTAGTTACATTATCTTGAGTTTACATTGTGGTGTAAATAGCATGCTTTCGGTTTACTTTATTGATTGCCTATTTCTGTTGCCATTTAATTTCATTAATTCCAAATGAACCATTGAAGCATCCACTCTGAACCAAGTGGATACCAAAAGTTCCACCAACAGGCACATTCCAATCCTGAATATACAATCGAGACCCAACATGCAATGGAAAACTAGACCGAAATGCCACTGTAGTGACCTTGACCTCTGGTTATTAACCTTTTAGAAAACATTTGGAACATTTCTGAGGTTTATAGTTTTATTTTTATAATCCGTTTAGCCAGACCTGTTCAAATATATGAATTTGGTCGACCTTAACATTATCTTCAATGGGTTCATGGGGCTTCTCAATTGTTAAGAATGAATTTCAGAAACTCTGTGACCATGCTAGGATGGTAAAATGACCAAATGTATTAGAATGGGTGGTTGTGAAGAGCAAGTGTAAGAAAATATTAGAAAAAGGTTAAAGATGGAGGTTATAGTGTTCGTTTTTTGCAAGCAATGGAACGACTACATGGACTCTTAAAGGGACAGAGTCCCTTTCATGCATGCTTAAAATATCCCATATTACAGTATGTTAAAACATTGCATATGCATATTAGCCTTGGCTTTTGTTTCTTATCACCACTTTTTCACTCGCTCTGGTCTAAGAAAAGGAATAATTGTCTTTAATTGCAGGCGAATAATGTCACACACTCTACATAATAAGATCTCATGCAGTTATTGTAAAAATAGATTTGGATCCTGCTCATTCAAGAGGTTCATATGTTCCCAACATGGAGCGTGTAGGCACATTTATCGTTCAATAATGCTCAATGGTTGTATTTTAGTTTTCTTTGGAAAATGTTATCCAAGTGTACGAAAAGATGCTGAATGATCTTTCTGGAGTGTGTGGAGCCTGAAGGTGTCAAAGCTAGATGATCAAAGTCAGACTGCACACTGTGCTCGGTGAGGTGAACAAAAACACTCTTCCTGTGGAGATTTAATAGCAGTGGACATTCAAGGCAGGCACAATGTTTTAACTCCTGTTTCAAAAAGCCATTTTGACCGTCATGTGTTATAACTTGACCTCCCGGTTTTCTTATCAATTGTTTATTACAGGATCAAGCGGGTCTATTGTGCACAATGAATCTAAAAATAGTCATTTTTCCAAAGACAATGCATTTGTAATTTGGCCAAGCGATATGTTGTATGGCGTCAAACAGATGAATCTATTATACTCGATTGCCCTGGCTCTTTTTGTTCACACTCTCCCCTTGACAAAATCTAGGTTTTTCAAAACCAGGGAACTAAATTACCTCATGAAGTTGATTGTAAACTTTAATGTAGTGATAACAAACCAGTGGAGATTATTTTTAATCTTTATTTACAGAATTTTGTATTTAAACCTACATATTTCTATTGTAATTACATTGTATAAAAGATAAATAAATAATATAATATAAACAATGGTACCTTTGTTGGATCAAGACCCCCCCCCCATTACTCATCTATAAATATGTAAAAAAAATTTTATTAATTTCTATAAGTTTCTGTGGTGAACTTCATCATATATGTAATGAGGATATGATGAGGATATATATATATAAAACTTTATTATATTTAATTTCATCTAATGTAATTATTATTGTATTAAATTTAAACAATGAATTATTTAATAATTATTACACAAAATCATAGTTCATTCATATAT